TTCACTAATTATCAGGGAGATGCAAATCAAGCAACCATGAGATCCCATCTCACACCACAGAGACTGGCATACATCAAAAAGAATATAAACAAACAGTACTGGCGCAGATGCAGGGAGAAAGAGTTTCTCATTCATTATTGGTAGAACTGCCAATTGGTCCAGACTTGATGGAAAACAACATGGACATTCCTCTAAAAACTGGGAACTGAGCTTCCATACAAGCCAACAATATTGCCCCTGGGTATACCCTAGGGGCCCAAAACCCCAATGCAGAAAAGTCATCTACACCCCTTATTGCAGCACTATTCACAATAGCCAGAATCTGGTAACTGCCATGACAGCGCAGTTAGTCAAACATCAGTCCGAGAGAGGGAATGAGAGCTGCAAAGGCGGGGTAGGGAGAACTGTACGAAGCATACAGCGACTTCATTGCAAAGCTCATTGACTTATATAGTATGCAGTAGACAATTTGTGGGAAAGCCAAGGGTTACAAGATGGGCGAGCTACGCTATATGCTATTCTGTTTTGCAGCTGCGTATTCAGGCAGTTCCTCGAACTTTCTCAGCAAAACAGGACAGGAATGAGAATGTGGCTTCTGGCCCGACCAAGACAGATCAGGTGCAGATTTCCCTTCGGACCCCTTGGGTCAACCACCAGGGCATGGTGCTCCCACACGCCAATTTTTTCCCCTGCTCATTCCCTTCTCAGGGAAAATAAGCAGGAGCTACCAAGGCCAGTCCCCAACAGATAACATCCAAATACTCAAGAGCAGATGACTGGATAAAGAAACTACATCTTACACAATGGAATACTACACAGCAATGGGAAAAAAATGAAGTCATGGAATTAGCTCATACATGGATGGACATGAAGAGTATCATAGTGAAATAAGCCAGAGGAAGAAATAAAATAATTGCATTCATTCGAAGAATATATAAAAACCAAAATAATACCCAAAATCCAAAGAAATGAGGGCCAGGAAAACTCATTCATGATAGAAGCTTGCCACAAGGTAGAACAGATGAAAGTTGGGGTGGGAGAGGGGGCCTGCAATAGGACAGATGGTGTGGGAAGCCAAGAGCCCTCTCATAGACCCTGGCCATGGTTCCCATGTTAGGAACTGCTTGGGACAGACATTGGTGACAGTCTCCCAGGGCTTCCTGACCTCAGTGGATGCCTGATCTATAGCAAATAACATCAGGCTGACAGTTATCTTATCTGGCCTTATCTATAATAACCTCCAGGATGCATCTACTGCCCTAAGACCCTTTGATATACAAATGTAAAGCTCAGGATGCACCTACTGCCATAAGACCTTTGATGTACAAATGTTTACCTTGAATGTTAGGTAAAGCTCTTGTTGCTGACCTTACCATGTATGGTTATATTGCTTCTGCTCCTGACTGAGCTGCCCGGACCCTATATAAACAGCCTGTATCCCTCAATAAAGCCTGTCCCTTTTTCTCTCTATTTCTAAACTGTACTCTGTCTCTTGTGTCTTGTGTTCATTCGGTTGGTCCCTCCTTGCACCATCGGATCAATCCTCGGGCCACCTCCGCGGGCCGGAGAGTGGTTACCAGGGCCCCCTGCAAGATGGGACCGAGGAGAATGATAGTTGGAAATGATCACTCTGCACAAGAACTGAGTGCTGAAAGGAAGTAAAATGATAAGCATGATAACCTTTCAGTAACAGTATTGCAATCCATACAAATCACTGTGTCTAAAAGGGGGTTGGGGATGTGGAGAGGAGAGACAGAAAGAAAATATTTGCCAGAGAAGCAGGCTGTGGTCGGGCAAAGGGAAACTGGGAACACTGGTGGCAGAAAATGTACACTGGTGAAGGGATAGGTATTGGAACATTGTATGACTAAAAATCACAACAACTTTGTAACTATGTATCACACAGCAATTCAATTTTTCTTTTAAAAAAAAAGCACCAAAAATAAATAGGCTTGAAAAAGTCTAATGGGCGGCAGAAAATTATAAAGGGGGTAAGATACATGCCTGGCACATGAACAACCCCTGTTCAATCCCTGGTACTCAAGTAGTCTCCCACGAAGCACAAGTGGTCTAAGTAATCCACCACAAAGCTCTCACAGTGCCACATCCTTAGGTATTGAAGCACCTTGTCCCCTGAATACTACTTGAAGTAAACCACTGCAATCACTGAACCCCCAAATTTCCTGAGTTCCACTTAGGTTCCTCAAAAGTAGAAATAAAGAAAAATTTGATTGTGGGTTCTGCAAAATATCCTGAGATCACATTCTAAGTTTTAAATATTCAAAGCAAACATAACCCTTTCCATCACACTAAGTAAAAATCACTTAGTGTTAAGTCATATTAGTTCTACAGCTGTTTTAGAAAGAAAAAAAAAATTTAAAGTTCTTTTCTGAGTTTGGGGGGAGATGCCTCTTTTGCGGGGAGGAATAAGGGTGGTAGAGAAAGATGACGACCAGTCCTCCAACTGTTTTATTAAAAAGATGGAAGACAAACTGTCAAGGGAAGAAAAAATAACTATATTTTCTAAGAAGGAAAAAAAGGGCTGAATTTGGCATGGTCAAAATACAAATGCATAAAAATGAAAAAGGCAGGGTGGAGATTATTACAAGGGTTATGGCACTTGTCTTGCATGCAAGCGACCCCAACTTAATACCCTGCACTGTCAGAAGTAACCCTCAAAACAAACAAGCGCGCACACACACACATACAAAATTGGTTACGCTTTGAAAAGAAAAATGAAAAGAGTAACTTAAGGATTCTTTGACTTCATATTCATGGTTCTAGTACTCATCCTCTTCCTTGGTCCTCCAACACTAGGCAACTCCAACCTTCTCTTCTCCATCACTTACTCTTTCAGTTACATTGACCTCATTAGTCCATCAACAAATAAGGAATTCTATTGCCCTGGAACTTCTACGGCTCCCTATAATTGAAATGTCCATCTTCTACATTCCATCACGCTTTCATGTGTTCATTCAAATGTCATCTTACAATTTCAATGAAGAAATTTTCATTTCAGTGAAGCTTTTCGCTTGGCTATACCGACAACATTAATACACATCCCATGTTTCCTATTCCCCTTCTCTTTTTCAGTTTAGTCAATCCTTAGATGCCAACAGGTACTTACACTTATTAATTGGTTAACCCTCATCAAACTATAAGCCCCATGATCACAGCATTTTTATCTATTATGTTTATTTCTACAGCAGCACTTACACACTTGACAAACATTAATGCTCAAAATGCATTATGAAAAAAATGATATATCTGCAACACCACATATAACTGAGAGATGCTTCCACTGATACTTCACATACTAGTTTGAATGATTTCAATTGGGATAACCTGGTTTTTTTCTTTTCTAACTATGCTCAGAGAACTATAGCAAACCCTTTGAGTCCTCTAATAAAATACAGAAACCTAAAGCAAGAGAAAAAAGTCACATTTATCTGTTTTATTTAACTAAACTTCACATAAAATTACTAGTAGACAGGATTATACAGTACCAAAAAATCTAATACCAGTGATTCTGTACAACAAATTAGTTCCAACATTTCACAATTTACTTTATAAATGGCCGAGCCGGGTTCAATTTCTCCCCCCCTCTTGGGAGAGCCCGGCAAGCTACCAAGAGTATCTGGCCTGCACGGCAAAGCCTGGCAAGCTACCCGTGACGTATTCAATGTGCCAAACACAGTAGCAATAAGTCTCACAATGGAGACGTTAACTGGGCCCGCTTGAGCAAATCGATGAACAACGGGAGGACCGGACTGGACTTTTTTTTTTAATGTAGGAGTACTGCTATTTATTCAGCCACTGATTAGGCTGATTGAATTGGGCATGAACTCCACCTTATTTTTTTTCATTTTTAATAATTTTATTTATTGAATCACCATGAGAGCAGTTACAAAGCTTTCGGGTTTAAGTCTCGGTCATACAATGAAATACCCGAACCTTCACCAGTGCCCATTATCCACCACCAAAAACCCCAGTATAGGTGTGGGGGCGACTAAAACCTCATGGGAAGGGGGGCGTTCCGGTCCGTCCTTCACGCCCTACCGAGGTCACCAGTTGCCCTCCGCGAGCGGCTCTCCAGCATGGCCACAGCCCCAGAAGCACAAGGACTTAATGCAGAACCCGGCAGCTTGGAGCAGAAAAGTGAACGGACTATGCGTTAATCCAGGCCATCATGTCTGTCCGGAGGGGTAAGGGTGTTGCCCCAGTCGCCCTCTCCTCTCTGGAAAGAAAGATGGCGGCCATATGGGAGCCTTGTGGACAGCAGGTATGAGCCGGGGGTGTGGGGGCGACTAAAACCTCATGGGAAGGGGGGTGTTTCGGTCCGCCCTTCACGCCCTACCGAGGCCACCAGTTGCCCCCCACTAGCGTCTCTCCAGCACGGCCACGACTCCAGAGCACAGAAACCAATTTCTTAACTATCTGACTTTCAGTAGAAATACTTCCAGGGTCAACAAGTAAAATAGCAGAAATCCAAAACCAACATTTAATTCTTGAACCCAGCTGTAGAAAGCAAATCACTTCACAACGCTTTTTCAGCATGTCTGATTTTGGGGGGGGGGGGGGGGGACTCTAAATAATAGTGGTGAATCTTTTATTGAAACAATGAATCTAATCAAAGCAGATAGAGTGTTAACTAGAATTCATCTGCCTCACAGGGACGGGGAGGGGTGGGGGTGGGGTTTTATTGGGGTTCTTCATGGTAAAAAATAAGTATTTGTTAAAGGGAAATGTGTTTGATATTTGCATGACTGAGACCTAAACCTGAAAGCTTTGTAACCTTTCCCACGGTGATTCAATTAAAAAAAAAAAAAAACCCAGTATACACACATGCAAACCATCTCCTAACCCACCAAATATCACTATTTGACAAAATAAATACATTATATCATTCCAAACCTTAGCTTGTAATTAATCCTAATATTACTTGACCAGTATGACATTTTAAAATATTTTCTGTTCCAACAAAGAAAAAGAGTACTAACCTTAATGAAGTTACAGATGGACAAGTCTGTCCATACAAACCCATCTGGCCACGAGAAGAATCTGAAAAGCAAAGAATAATTAGTTATCAGATGTTCCTCAGATACAGTATAAACCTTGTTGTAATTCTATTGAATCACTGTAAGAGTACAACAGACCAAGTGTGCATGCTCTTCATGCCAAAGGCCTGGGTCCAATCCCTAGCACCCTGTTATCTGTCCCCTGAGCATCCCCAGAAGCAACCCACGAGCCCCACCAGGTGTGACTGAAAAATCAATAAGACATGCTAAAAACAGAAATAGAAGGCTAAAAGATTCAATTCAAAATTAACTGAACATACACCCCCATGAATCAAAAATGCTACTGTGGTTAAGGAAAGATATTTTAAGAAAGATAAACATAGCCCGTAAGAAATAGACACATTAAAAATGAAACATTCAAAGGCACTAAAAATTCATAAAATTTTTAAATGGTTATATATATGTATGTGTGCATATAATATATATTACATAGTGTCCAAACTTTTTAGTAGAATGCTGGGGGTTCCAGAAAGGTATCTAATGGCTACCAAAGGACTGAGCATATAATTTCCATTCCCTTCCAACTCCAACTGCTCTTCAATCCAAAAAATGCTATCTTTTATACTGGAGAGTGTGTTCAGCGGGTAAGGCACTTGTTTTGCACATGGTGAACCCAATCAATCAATCCCTGGCATCCCATATGGACCCCGAACCCCAAAAGTCATGATCCCTGAATGCAGAGCCAGAAGTAAGCCCTGGGGATTGTCGGGTGTGGCCCAAAAACAAAATAATAAATATAAAATCTAACAGTGCTATCTTTGTTTCATATACTGAACTTCTAGATTCCATCTGAATTCCTGATTGAAAAAAAAAGTTTCAACCTAAGAAAATTCAGTGGTCTTGGGAGCCCCATTTTTTACCCAGGACTGCCATTTTGCCACCCAGGTCAGGATCTTTCTCCACCTGTGAAGTGGATAGGAAGGGGAGGGCTGCTTAGCCACCCCAGCTTGGCTCTACCCAGTCCTGGTCCCAGGAAACTGAGGAAGCTCAACTGCATCCTTTTAAAAAATAACCTACTACCAGTCCTTTTCAGGCACTTTCAGGAAACTGAAGAAACAAAACACTCCCAATTTCTATGAAGCAAACACCAACCTGATACCAAAAGCATACAGAGGTATCAACGAAAAAGCAAATTACAGACCAATCTCCTTCATGAACACAGATGCAAAGATCCTCAACAAAATAGAAGCAAATCAAATTCAATAATTTATCATAAAGATCGTACACCATGACCAAGTGTACAACTCAGGGCAATGCAAGGTTAGTTTAACATATGCAAGTCATTCAACAAAATACACCATATTAATGAAAGAAAAAAAAACCATATGATCATATCAATAATGATTAGAAAGCAACAAAATTTCAACAAAATGGTGACTAAAGGAACTTTCTCAATATACTCAAAACCAATACCACAAGCCCACAGCAAACATTATACTAAATGGGGAAAAATGAAAAGCCTTCCCTCTAAGATCAGGCTATAGACAAGGCTGCCCACTCTCACTCTCACCAGTTCTGTTCAATATAGCACTGGAAATACTTATGACAGCAAGAAAAAGATTATCAAGGGCATACAGATAGGAAAAAAAAAGAAGTCAAGCTCTCACTATCTGCAGATGAAATACTGCATCTAGAAATACTAAAAACTACCTCAAAAAAACTCTTAGAAAAAATAATTTGTGTAGAAAATTGGCAGATTACAAAATATGCAAAAGTCCACAAAAGGTCCAGAGCTTTATTACAGAAAATAGGACATTTGCCTGGCAGGTAGCCAACCCAGGTTCAATCCCTGGCATTCCACATGGTCCCCCGAGCACCACCAGAAATAATTTCTGATCGCCAAGTCAGGAGTAACACTTTGCAATTTCTGACTGCAAAGCCAAGAGTCACACCTTGCAGGTGTGACACCTCCCCGCCAAAAAAAGGTCCATCGCTTTCCTATGTGAACAGTGAAAGAGAAGAGAGAGGTATTATAAAGACAATTCCACCGAAAATTATACCTCAGAAAAATCAAGTACCTCAGAATCATCTTCACTAATGAGGTGAAAAACCTCCTCTACAAAGAAAACTAGAAAACACTACTTGAAGAAATAAAAGAGGACGCACAGGAGAAAATGAAGCATCCTCTGCTCACGAATTAGGAGGATTTATTGTCACCAAATGGCAATACTCCCCAAAGTACTGTGTAGGTTCATTCAAGTCCCTATAAGGATACCCATGTCATTTTTTAAAGAAATAGATCAAACACTCCTGAAACTTTTATGGAACAATAATGATCAGTTAATCGTTGATAGGAGCAAAAAATATGAAGTGGAGGCAAGGAAAGTCTCTTCAACCAGCAGTGCTGGAAAATCTGGCCAGTTACATGCAATAAATAAACAAACAAATTCAGGCCTCTTTCTAACACCATGCACAAAAGTCAAATCAAAATGGATTAATAAGGACCTTGGTATCAGACCTGAATCCACAAGGCACAAAGAGGAAAACGTAGGCAGAACTACTCACGACACTGAAACATAAAGGCATCTTCAAAGATGAAACACCCCTGACCAAGTGGAGGCAAAAATAAATGAGACCGCTCTCTGGAAAGAAAGATGGCGGCCGCACGGGAGCCTTGTGGACAGCAGGTTTGAGCCGGGCTTGGCGGGAGCGGCGGGGACCTCATGGGAAGGGGGGCTTTGTGGGCCGTCCCCCACGCCCCACCAAGGTCGCCAGCTGCCCCCCACGAGCGGCTCTCCGGCACGGCCACGACTCCAGGGCACAGAAACCAATCTCTTAACTATCTAACTTTTAATAGAAATTCTTCCAGGGTCAATAAGTAAAATAGCAGAAATTCAAAACCGCGCGGCCGCGATAGCATCATTTTATTCTTAAACCAAGTTGTAGAAAGCAAATCATTTCACAACGCTGTTTCAGCATATCTGATTGTGGGGGGTGGGTCGTAAACTCTAAACAATAATTGTGCATCTTCTATCGAAACAATCTATCTAGTCAAAGTAGATAGAGTATTAACTAGAACTCATCTGCCTCACAAGAATTGGGAGGGGTGGGGGGAGGTGGGGGTCTATTGGGGTTCGGGGTTAAAAATAAGTATTGGTAAAGGGAAATGTGTTTGATATTTACATGACTGAGACCTAAACCCGAAAGCTCTGTAACTTTTCCCACAGTGATTCAATAAATAAATAAATTATAAAAAAATAAATAAATAAAAAATAAAAAAATAAATGAGACCACATAAAACTAAGAAGCTTCTACACTTCAAAGGAAATAATCAGAATACAAAGACAACCCACAAGATGGGAAAAAACTTTTATCCAACACTTATCTGATAAGATTCCTCCACCCCTCTGGGAGAGCCTGGCAAGCTACCGATATGCCAGACACAGTAACAACAAAGTCTCCAATGGAGACGTTACTGGGCCCGCTCGAGCAAATCGACGATCAACGGGAGGGCCTTTACCTTTACCTTTACCTTATCTGATAAGATGTTAATAACCAAAAAACACAAGGCACTCGTAGAACTTTACAGGAATGAAGGATCGAACCCATAAAAAAATGGGGAGAATACAAAAAAATACAAATGGCCAAAAAGCACATGAAAAAGTGTCATCACTAATTATCAGGGAAATGCAAATCAAAACAACCATGAGATACTATCTCACGCCCCAGAGACTGGCACACATCAAAAATAACAACCAAACCTGGCTGTTATATGGAGAGAAAGGACTCTCATTCACTGCTGGTGGAATGCTGAGCTTCCAGCAGTCCAGCACTTTGGAAAACAGTATGGACATTCCTCACTGAGCCTCCATACAATCCAGCAACACCACACCTGGGTATGTATCCTCAGGACCTGGAAACACAATGCAGAAAAGTCATCTGCACTTCTATGTTCGTTGCAACACTATTCACAATAGCCAGAATCTGGAAACACCCCAAGTGCCCAAGAACAGATGACTGGATAAAGAAACGATGGTACATCTATACAATGGAACACTACACAGCTGTTAGGAAAACCTAAGTTATAAAATTTGCTTATACACAGATGGACATGATTAGTATCATATTGAGTGAAATGAGTCAGACAAACAGAATGATTGCGCTCATTTGCAGGGTATTTTTAAAAAAGAACATAGTATGTGAATAATAACCAAGACAGTAAAAACAATGACCAAGAGAACTGGTCCACGGTAGGAAACTTTCCACAAAGCAGGAAAGGGAATGCATTGGGACTGAGAAGGGAAGAAGGGACCACTATGACAATGATAGCCAGAAATGATCATTCTGGACAAAAAGTGAGTGCTGAAAGAGGTAAAGTGATATGCATGATACCCTTTCAGTAAGAGTATTGCAAACCACAGTGCCTAAAAGGAAAAGAGAGAGAGAGGAGAGAGAGAGAGAGAAAGAGAGAGAGAGAGAGAGAGAGATAAGCAGGTGGGGTGGAGGCAGGCGGAAGGGAAGAGTGAAATGGGAAATGTGCAGGGTGAAGGGACAAGACTGAAACTCAATCAAACAACTTTGTTAACTATATCTCACAGTGATTCAGTTTTTAATTTAATAAAAATTGAGATTCCAGTCTTTAATAGTTTGTAACTGTTCAGGTTCTATGTACTTTATTAAAACTCACAAGTTTTAATAAAATGTTTTAATTCCTTAAAAGAAAAATTAAAGACTGAGCGATAGCACAGTACTGGTAGGGCATTTGCCTTTGCACGAGGCTGACCCATATTTGATTCCCAGCATCCCATATGGTCCATGGAGCACCGCCAGGAGTAATTCCTGAGTTCAGATCCAGGAGTAACCCTTGTGCATCAACGGATGTGACCCAAAAAGCAAAAAACAAACAAACAAGACTGTTATCCTACATAAGACTAGTACTGGAACAGGAAGTTTTGGACAAGACAATTCCAGGTTCAAATTCCAGTTATGATGATATGAGACCGAGATCTTATTTCCGTATGTTTATAACCTCACTCACTCTCA